TTAATAGGTAAAGCAATAGCCACGTGTGCAAGCAAAGCAAAACAAGGAATTCATTCCCTGCTCCCCATTGGCAGGCACCTCCAGGAAAGCAGGGCTCCATCACACATTAACAGTTACTTGGGAAGACAAACGTCATCGCTCCGAACATCCCCCCCTTCTTCCCGCAGCTTTACATGCTGAGCATGACAACATATGGTATGGGATATCCTTTGGTCAATTGGGGTCAGCTGTCCCGGCTGTGCCCCCTCCCAGCTTCTTCTGCATCTGCAGCCTACTTGCTGGTGGGGGGGGGGGGGGGGGGCAGTGAGAAGCAGAAGAGACCTTGACTCTGCGTAAGCACTGCTCAACAGGAATGAAAACATCCCTGTATTATCAAACACGTTTCCAGCACAAATCCAAAGCATAGCCCCATGCTGGCTACTATGAAGAAAAGTAACAATGTCCCAGCCAAAACCAGCACAAAGTATGTTACTCAATTTGTAAACTATTATTGACTTGGTCTTCTCATCATCTAGACTGTCCAGAGTTCTAAAATGGTTCCCTATTGATGCTGAGACTGTGATCAGTATTGAAGGTCTTTACAAAAACACATCAATGAATACATTAAGTTCATCTGTAATTTCTCTCGTTCTTGATCCAGTGAACTGTAGCATTATGTCTAGGTTTTTTTCCAGTATGTAGGGCTTTTCCAAATACCAAAAGCATCATCTCGGAATTTAATAACCCATTAGTTATGGGCCTTTGCCTAATTGACCTTAACTTGTCTCCATGCCTCAGCAATTCTTGAAGGTAAAGACGCCAGCTGAAATAACGGTGTGGATGCTTGTCCCTTAAAATTTAATGAACAGACAGATAATTTCTTAGATACTAGTGAGAAACAGCCTTATGGTAAAGAGAGTTGGGTTTTGCTGCTCTGGTCTGTTCACCTCTTCTTTTCTTCTTCCTCCTTCTGTTTTCTTCCCTCTTCCCCCCACCCTCTACCTCTCTCTGAAAAACATGTTAAGCATTAAGTAATTGTGAAGCTTATCCACATTTTTATATATAATCTGGAAAATTACTAACGATGTTCTTTTTAATTGAGGAATGTGATAAGCATAGTAGTCACAAATTAATATAAAAATGTAATCTCTTTTATTAAATGAAGCTTTAGTAAGCCCGTGATGTCCCTGACCAACTGTTCTTATGTTTATGTGAGTAAAAATATGACACTGAGAGAAACAGTAAAGTGTACTGTTTACTTGAGATAAGTACTACTTAAGTTTGCATACTTAGTTGACATCTGTAACTATTTGTGATTATTCTTAGCTGTTAAACTAAATTTTTGTGCCTTGCATTCTGCTGATGCAGACTGTACCACATGATTGTATGTTATAATATGCTACTTGCAGCTAGTTCAGTAATTCCCAGTTACAACTAGGTTTTATTCAAACAATAAAAAAATTATGTATTTTAAGTTACAGATTAAGGCGCTATGCGAAGTAAAAGTTCTTAAAGAAGCTTTTTAGAGGGGATTGTTTTCAAGCCTCAAAGAGGAGGATGAGAAAGAAACTCCTTCAAATATATTGCATTAGCCTGAAAGTGCGTTACAGGAGTTCTTACAGTAGGGCATGGGTGGAAGGAAGAACATGGACACTAGCACAATATTTTTGAAGGAATGAATTTTGTTCTTATGAGTCCCAAAAGTGCACTTGGTATATGTTTGTAGTACTGACTTATCGCTGGATTTGAAGAGTGTTGAGAATTTAAGCTGAAATATAATAGCTGTTTTTTTGAAAACATTACAAATACTAGCCTTAAAACATGACAAATACTGTACTTAATCTTCTTTCCAGAACAAAACATAGCTATATTGATCTAGTAAGACCAAATGCCTCGAATTATTGGAATGGAGAGAGGAAGACAACTGTGGTTAGTAGAAGCAGTTAAAGCTCTTTAAGAATATGTTTAGATACCAGTAGTGAGTTTTGACTGGGTTATCACTGCAGTTTTTGATGCACTATTTCAAGTCAAAAGAGTTGTTTATTTCTGGTCTATCATAGAGATAACACTGTAGTGAATCAAGGTTTTAAGTAAGATATTTTTGAGGGTAGGATGGTAGTAGAAAATAAAGATGTTGCTCAAGCTCAGGAATACAATGTCAGATAGCTATTTCAGGGACATGAGAATGAACACCTTGTTAAGATATCTTAAGCCTGAGGCTGAGATACTGGGAATGCTTACATATAATGAACATCAAGTTTAACAATGTTTGAGAAGACATTTCTTGTATCCTTATCTTCAAATGCTCCATGTTTAAATGATGTGCTGAATTGTCTTGACCCTATAACTCATCTGAGCTAGCATGTAGTTGTAAAAATAACAAAAACCTGCTTTGCTGCAAAATAGATGCCACAGTGAGTACTGTTTTATTTTTAAAACACATGTATGGCAGCACTGAAGCCCAGTATGGTACTTTTTACTGGTATTCTGGCTGCAAATTAAACCTCTGTATTTGCATGCTGTTTAGTTTAAAAAATGTGCGTCTAAGAAGGTATTTTTACATGCACAACTTAAATGAAACTTTATTTAAATATATTATATTTATGTATAAATGTAGCATTGTTATTGCTCAAGATGTAATATACTTACAAAGAAGAACAGAAACTGTGTACTCCTTGTTTCTAAAGAAGCTTTAAAAAGTAAAATATTTACGTGTCTATATGGCTTACAGAAGCAGATTAGTCTTTAGTCATCCAGTTGAAGAGGGCTTTTTTTCCTGTTCTTTTGTGTAATATTTAGCTTTCATCTAAACTACTTGGAAAGCAAGAAACAAGAGATAGTGTAACAGTCAATTCACGTTCTGCTGCTGTTAGAGAGCTAGGCCTGGAGTTTCAAAACCTAAATGCTAGCTTGTTGGAAGAACAGCGAATGTAGTTCAAAATAACTTTTAAGTGTCTTTATCAGAACAGAACAGAAATTGACTGTATGAAGTTTTTGTTACTGAATAGAAAAAATGAACTCTTATTTTAAAAATTACTTCTTAATATCATTAAGAAATCTTCTGTAAAACTCCCTTATCAATTCAGCTTCACAGTGTGGATTGGTACATATTTACCCAAGATGACAATGTCTAAAGTTAGCATTCAAGGAATAGCTAGATACATGCATCCTATTGAAAGCCATTCCATGAAGTCTTTGATAAGATCTATGTCAGCTAGGATTGATAGCTCAGGCAAGTGTGAATGTCTGTGGCTACTCCATGTACTGTAAGTGCAAGGTTTGCAGTAATTCTGCTTTATGTAAGGGCTAGAGTAGATACTCATATGTACATATAAGGCTGTAATGAGGGCTCTTGGCTTATAAGCATCTCTCTGAAGAATAGTATTTACATCGTCAGGTTAGATCATGCAACTAACTTACTTTTTTCCATCTTAGTGATTTAGAATCTAGACGAGAAGTCAAGAAAGAGGAAGGTGAAGCATTTGCACGAGAGCATGGACTTATCTTTATGGAGACATCTGCCAAAACTGCTTCCAATGTAGAGGAGGTAACTTTGCTTAACACTGGTATTTTTGTAAGACAGTTGCTTCGAATTGCACTTTGTTACTTGTACAGATACTATTCCTCTAGCTTTTGGATTACTTGACTTGAATTAACTACTCTTTAATTTATATTACAAGACAAACAGTGTCTACGCTGTGTCTGATTGCATGGCACTAATTATATTGTTGACACTCTAGTATACTTGTTCTTTTTTAAAATATTTGATCAGAGAAATGGGTACTTCTGTGTGTCATGAAATCTGAAAAGTAAAACTAGGATAGATTTGCTAGTCCAAAGCAATCCAAGCTATTGGTGTCCTTGGCAGATGTCAATCTAACCTGTTCTAAAGACCTCTGATATTTCATAAGCTCTTCAGAGCAATCTGTCGCAATGTTTTGGTATTTGTATTGTTGTCATCTTTCCCCTCCGCTACGTAGCACAAATCTTCTTTGCTGCAATTCATGCACACAATTTGTTTTTCTGTCCTCTACAGAGCTGCTGAAGAGGTTGTTATCTTGGTTGCTGTAGTCTGCTATGTACTTGAATAAGTTTTTCAGTCTTTGCTACTTTAGTGTAAAGAACTTAAGTCTTTTGAAGTTTTGCTTATAGTTCACATTTCTGGACATATGTGAGTTCTTGCATATCTCACCTTGATTTACTGCATGCCTTTCTTGAAGTGTGGTTGTGATGGGTTGACCTCAGCCAGCAACTAAGAGCCCCTCCAGTTGCTTGCTCACTCTCTTGTCCAGTGGGATGGGGAAAGGAACCAGAAAGAGCCAAAGTGAGGAAAAACTCAGGGGCTGAGAGAGTTTAATCAGCTTCCCACAAATGGATTGATTCCCAGCCAGTCTTCTGAGCAACAGCTAATTTGGAAAGACTGCCCTTTGGTTTTTATTGTTAAGCATGATGTCATATAATATGAAATACCCTTAGGCCAATTCTGGTTAGCTGTCCTGGCTGTGTCCCACCTCTGCCCCCCACAGATTTTGCCTACCCCAAGCTTAATGACTGCAGGAGGCAGAGTAAGAAACTGAAAAACTTAACGCTGTGCAAGCATTGCTTATCAGTAGCTAACTGGTGTGTTAGTCACAAGTCCAAAACACAGCACCATACAGGCTTCTGTAAAGAAAACTAACTCCATCCTAGCCAGACACAGTACAGTGGTGGACAAAGAGCTCCAGCTGAGACGTTTGTGTGATGTAAAGCAGAAAGGTTGCTTCATGCATCTTTCAGGCCCATACTCAGTTTATACATTGTCATTTACTAATCTTTTTTTATAGCATCATGACGTAGTTCAGCTTCTCATGCTACATGATCTGCCCTTACTCTTTTCCAAAATTGTTCTAAATGCAAAATGGTGGATAACCAAGGTATTCTTTTAGTGGTAAAGCCTTCTAGTTTTGAAACATTTACTGTTTTTTGAAAAGTTATACCAAGAGTAACAAACAAAAAAACTGTGGGATTTGGGGGGAAGAAATATCCCCATAATTACTTAGCAGCATTTTTAATCCATGCTGATAAATCACTGGTGACTATAGTGTATCATGCATGGCTTATGTAGTTAACCATTGCAGTGCCAGGATACCTGTAGAAATACTTAGTCAAACATGTCTGTGTAAGATATAGCATCAGCAGTGTTGAAAGAGCAGGTGATTTTGATTGATACAAGGATATAGCTCCAGGACAAAATGATAGATGTAGTTTCTAACTAGATAAGAGCAAAGACGTACGCAAACAAAAGTTCACATGAAAACAGCTTCAGAAATATCTAAGAATTTGTCATGGTTTAACCCCAGCTGGAAACTAAGCCCCACGCAGCTGTTTGCTCACCCTCTCCCCACCCCCGGGGGGGGGTGGGGGGGAGAATCAGAAGAGTAGAAGTGAGAAAACTTGTGGGTTGAGATAAAGACAGTTTAATAGGTAAAAGAAAAGCCATGTGTGCAAGCAAGGCAAAACAAGGAATTCATTCCCTGCTTCCCATTGGCAGGCAGGTGTTCAGCCATCTCTGGGAAAGCAGGGCTCCATCACACATAATGGCTACTTGGGAAGACTAACGCTGTTACTCCAAATGTCCCTGCCTTCCTCCTCCTTCCCCCAGCTTTCTATTGCAGAGTGTGATGTCATATGGTATGGGTTATCTCCTTGGTCAGTTGGGGTCAGCTGTCCTGGCTGCGTCTCCCTTACCAACTTCTTGTGCACCCCCAGCCCACTCACTGGTGGGGTGGGGTGAGAAGCCGAAGACACCTTGACTCTGCAAGCACTGCTCAGCAATAACAAAAACATCCCTGTGTTATCAACCCTGTTTCCAGCACAAATCCAAAACATAACCCCATACTGGCTGCTATGAAGAAAATTAACTCTGTCCCAGCCAGAACCAGCACAGAATTATTTGCTCCTATCATCCTCTGTTCTTTTCTGAACTCTGTATTTAACAAAGTCTTATGGAATGGTAAAACTAATGTTTAAGATTTATTTTTAATTCAGTTATCAGCCTTCTGTCCTTACCCATCAATAGGGAATGTTTGTCAAAATGGGTGCTTTGGAAAAAGACATTTTACTGTAAGGCCTGTGCACATACACAAATGGAAATGCATAGATACAACAGGCTAGAACATTCCCAGATAACAACTGGTATCTTGTTTTCTCTTTCCCAAAAGAGGGATTTTACCATACAGGGATCATGTAGTTGACTAATAAAGCCTTGGCCTGCTGCATTTGCACCTATGTTGCATTGCTTAGTGGTTGCTATACATAACAAAGTAGTAATGGAAGTGTATTTCTGGGTATTGAAGGAAGTAATGTAAGTGAGATTGCTAGGAAAAGTGACAACAAAGAAGCTATGCAATATCCAGTAATAGGGCTTAAACTATTCTTCCACCCATTTAAGAGAAATAGTTAGATCCAACTTTGAGATATCTGTCCAATGTAGAATTAGGAAGAATATCCATTTTTCCTGGCCAAACTTGTTTTGTGGACTAAACGTTTTTTTTCTCATTACACAGCTGGTTCTCAAACTTTGCTTTCTGAATCTGAGGCAAAAGTACTTATGGCAAAAAGAGTCAAAACTGTTAAGTGTTTAGAAGTAATCATCCTGGATTGTTCATCTTGGAAGCCCTTCCTCCAGCCACTTGAATCCTGTAGTCCTTGTAGCCTACCTCAGTATGTGGAAGCAGTCTACCTCGTTTTAAACATACAAGGCTGCTCGAAATACTACTTTCCAGAAATTTGTTTGTTTATTTTAACAAAAATACTTTAATGCATGTTTTAGAGTAGAAAATGGGGTAAGCTCATCATCGTTAGTATGGCTGCTTGTATCAGTAATTTCTGAAGTAGTAAGGGAAACTTCTCAGGCAGTTCTAAAACCTTCTGATGTAATCCTTCATGGAAAAAATTAAAATAATTTCAGAAGTGTTCTGAATCAAATGACTTTGCTTTGTAAAAAAGCAAAGTTATTGCAGTCTGATCTTTTTTTTGAACTGCTCACTGCATCTTCAAGTCTCTTTAGTTTATAGAAGATGGATTTCTCTATATCATATCTTTTGGTTGACATCAGTAAGTCTCACCACTGTACAGCTTGAGTCCTACAGGTGTAAAGAAACTGTAGCGAGTGCTTTTTATCCATTTTAATTATGCTTGAGACACTATTAGCTGTATGATTACTCTATTGTTCTCCATCCTGCACAGTTAGTGCTACTTTAGTAGGGGCATTTCTACAGCATCTACAGATCTGGCATGCAGCTCTTAAATTTAGTCTGGACGTAGACTAGAGACAACAATACCTGGCCCTGCAGCAACAGGGCTAGTAACCGTGTGGCTCTTGCACGCTGAATGACAAGTTCTTGTCACTGGGGAATTCAGGAGGGGCAACGTGGCATTACAAACGGGTTGTGCTACATAAGTTAATGGACAGATCTCCATTGCAAAGCACATGCAGATAGCCACGGAAGTCTTACGGTCCTAGTCAGTGCCGTTCAGCGTAGACTACTTGCATTTTATGCAGATGTAATACTAAAACACAGCAGCACGTGGGAGTGTCTCTCCTGTGTTGTACAACAGTTAAATGGCCAGAGGAGACCTTTTGCCTAATGGATTTTTTTCATCTCTCTAGTTGAAAGTATATGTTTCTCTGTCAAAAGTGAGAAGACAAGCCTCTAGACTTTGTTTTTATCAGTTTGACGTTGTTTCTGACCCAAATTTATCTTACCTTGTGTCATAAATGTCTGTTGTAGATGTTTGCAAGCTAATGGTGGAGTCTTCAGCAGTTTCTATATAAGAACAAATCTGCTTCTGTTGCTAATGTTATTTAAGCTGTTTCCCTTGTTTAAACCTTATTTCCACCACTGTTAATGCCTTAGTCAATCTCTAGCCATAGCAGTACATTGGCTTCTTCAGTGCTTGGATCTTAAGACAGTTTAGAAATGTTCATAGTGTTCTTTGGGATTGTGTCTTGGAACCTACACCTTGGGTAGAAATGTTTAGGAGTGGAGAATATCCTGTTTGTCTTGTGGAAGGCTGTTAGGGGATGTTTATACCCTGTTTGCACAATAGGTAATTGATAGTTGGAGCGGGAAATAGATGTAGGCTCTTCCTTTGTAGTTTCTGCGGAAGCTTCTAAGAATTCAGGGTGGTAACAGAGTGAAATCATCATGTTTAATATGGAATGGGTGAAAAGAGTTTCTGAATCATTGGGAGGATAGAAGGATTACTGGGGGTGGGGAGGCAGTTAAGCACAGGGTTATAACTTGACTGCTGTGCAAGGCAGTTAAACTAGTCTCTTCAGTGGTATCATACTTACTTAAACAGGTTTTTTGTTGTCGTTGAGTTCCTTCTAGCCTCTGTCTAAAGCTATCGAGATAGCCAACTGTCAAAATGTAACTGAATTGCTGTGCTTTTTTCTTCAGTGATTTCTAAGCTAGTATCACTAGTGCATTTTTTTCTTTACAATTCTGTGTAAGAAAAAAAAAAAATCTCAACTATGTTTTGGAGATGTTCAGTAATGTATGC